GTGGGGGCCCCCCGGCGGGCCCTGCCAGGGGAAGCTGCCCTTCCTAGCCAGCAGGCCCCCAATGATGCGCTGCATCTGCCCGGGGGGGTTCTTCGGCTTCCCGCACACTGCACAGGGCAGAGCAGGGCCCTGGTGAGCCCTCCAAGGCCAGCAGGCACCGGATGGCTCCCAGCCCACAGCAGCCCCAGAGAGCAGCCCCTGCAGCCCTTTGTCTGCCTGGACAGACCGCTCGCAGCCCCTGCTGCTCTGCTCTCACCTGGCTCACAGACGGGCACCTCCTTGCCAGCTTCAAGGCTCACCCACCCGTGATCCTCGCTGCACTTGTACATGCCTTTGGAGGGAAACCAGAGTCAGCACCCCTGCCCTGCAAGGGGGGGCAAGGGCCCTGCAGCCAGGGAGGTGTGGAGGTACTTGTACCTCCCCAGGGCTTGGGCGAGCAGGGGTAGCTATTCGTGTCCCCGAGGAAGGCTGGGGGGGGCAGGCTGCATCGCCCAGCGCTGGGGCAGCCCCATGCATCCCCTTGAGCCAGGGACAAGCCCCGTTCCTGGGTGCTGTGGCCGTGCCACATGCCTCACCATCACCAGAGCCGCCGCGCAGCTGGTAGTACGGGTTGCAGCGGTACTTGATCAGGTGCTCCACGTAGCCATGTTCAATCTCCGCAGGCTTTGCACAGCTCCACTCTGCAGGCAGAGGATGCTCAGCTGGCTCACAGGACCCAGCCCAGGACATTGCCCCACCTCCAGCAGGTCCCTCCCAAGTCCTGTCTCCCCTGCCCCATGCCTGATCCCTGCCAAGCTGTCCCTGGCTTCGTCTGAGCCCCAGTGCTCCCACTCGTGCCCTGGAAGGTACCACTGGCAGTTGTAGTCTCCAGCACGGTCCAGGCCAGGCCAGCAATCAGCAGCACCGCAGGTCTGCAGGGGAGAGAGGGCACGCTCAGCAGAGGGCTCCTGCCCCTGCGCTACCAGTCTGTGGGCTCCACCAGGGCCAACCCTTGTCCCAGGGGCTGCCTCCCCAGGAGGGCAGGGGGCCGACCCCACACCCCCGGGGCTGCCCATCAGACGCAGCCTGGAGAAGTTGCTTGGGCCAGACTGGACCCTGCTGCTGTGGAAGATGAGGTGGCAGTGTTGGGACCCAGAGCGCTTCCAGGCCCAACGCCGGTCCTGCCACAGCCCACAGCAGGGCCAGGTCCTCGGCCAGGCAAGCAGGATGGACACAGACACAGTACCAAGCACGTGCAGGCACACAGCAACATCGCTCACCCCATGTTCATAGCTCCCTCTCCTCACAGCAGACTCCTCTGCAGGGTGATGCCGTTCAGGGCTTCCTCCTCGTCCCTTTTATTGCCACCTCCCTCGCCCTGGTGCAGCCCTGTGTACTCCAGACCTCCTGACCCTGCTGTAGGCAGCCAGCACCTTTCCCAGCAGGAAGAGCACAAAAAGCCCCACCTGGTTCACAGCTGGCCTGGCAGAGGCCCCTGGGAAGCCCGCCAAGCCCCCATGGGAAGCCAGCGTGCCAAGAATTTCCGGGATTCTGCAGCTACAAATACACAGGGAGGGATCTGGCTGCAGACACTGGTGCCTTGGCACTGAAACACCAGCTGAGGGTAACAGAAAGCGGAGCCAGCCCCTGCCCCCTGCAAAACTGCCCCATGCCACCACCTAGAGAGGGGCTGCAGGGGCACCCCGCAGCCCCCCCAGGCACACGCAGACGCCCCCAGACTGGGCA